ATTAAGAAATGAATAATGGATCTATTTCATTTTTCAATGTAATTGTGGTTTATTTTAGGCAGTGAATATAACCATATTTCCTATTGTAATTTATATAATTATCGGTCCTAATGCGTTACCTTCTCCATATCCAAAAAATGGGTTAGGTTTGGGCTACCGAACATTAGTGCTTTCAGGCAAATCTGCTAATAGCTCAGTAACTGAAATCTCTAACTGCGTAATACCAATGTTATTCTTTAAAAAGTGTCAATCCAAATATGAAACAAAAGATAGGACACCTATTTATAAAAATGCCACTATGATTGTATGTCACAATAATATATTAATAAATGATGTCTCATATACTTTACACAATTCGTATACAGTGTTTCCTTCTCTCTGTCTGGGAGCATATACCTTGCATGCAGGGATAGGCCACTCTGTATAAGTACAGTAATTAATTTATGAATTTGGTAGTAAAATCTATTCTAGAAGCGTAATACTCCTAATAGAGTATAAAAATTTGGCAGGCCATTAGAACAATATGTCAATAAACAGCCAATTTTGCAGTGTATGTAGAAGCCTTTAACGAAAAAATATTTTTTTAAATTTATCAGCGGGATATCAATACAATATCTAGAATTTCAATCAACTGCAGGGATTACAAATACTAGAAAGGTGCGTTTGCTCAATTTTTCAGCTATTTGTATTTGTCTACGGTGGATCTACTATGCCGATGTCAAAACAGAAAATGCTTGATTCATGCCTGTCTACTTAAAACGTTAAAAAAACTCCATTTAGATTTTGCTCTGAAAGCCTTACTGTTCAAGATATAACATAAAACAGGTAAAAGACCCAACAAAAACCAGGAAATTCCTAAATGTCATTTTCAATTAATTTCCACATGAACCCAGCTTCCACCTGAAACAAAACCCATCTGAGCAAGTTTATGTTTGCAATCGAACATACTTATTTCCCTTTTGGATATTATTTTTATAAATTTGATTAATGAAGCACAAATTAATTTTCATACATAGAAGGATTCTGATCATAATTCAGTAAAGAACATTTTGTCGTGAGTTTTAAGATTGTTGCACGAGAACAATGTTCTTATTATATTCTCTGAGGAGATTTAATACCACAAGATCTTTTTAAAATCTCATAGCATCTGGTAGATTTTTATTCTGTTAGCTTAGTCACCATCGAATCTTGAACGGAAATTAAATCTAATATTCCTGGACCATTTGCGATGTATTTCGGTCCAGCCTGTCTAAATAGAGTGTGTCTCGAGGCGTTAGAAAGGGTATCATTATGTCATTGCTATTGTGGGGATTTGAGACCCATCCGCCAAATGCAATTTTTTAGGATTCCTGGATATTGTGTTTGAAAGGCATACACGGGTTGTTTGATCTTGTGAATAATAGATGAAAATAACTAGCCATATCTAGCCAAAATATATCTTCCGTGTAATTTGGCCCGCTAGAGGTGTTAACCTTCCAAATAGCATTCAATGTTCGGAAAGGGAATTGCAGCGACGGTTGTAAGTTACAAACCTGAAGAAGTTCTACCAAATAAGCCACGAACATTGATAATATCAGTTCCTAATAGAACGCAAAGTCATTTTGAATATAAAAATATGATCAGTCACACAAACTTATACGTGAGGATGAAAAGACCTCGACTGTTTGCTAGTGAGTAAAATGTATAAATTACGAGAGGGATGAATTTTTGTCTTCTCAAGCTTATTCACATATAATACAATACCTAGGTTATGGTAACCACCCAGGAAGATATTTTCTTGCTCTTCAAATTTTTTGGCAGTAGGGGGTGTTTCAATCCCATCCGACGAGGGTAACTCTTGCGGCTGCGCTCTGATCTGAAATGTTCATGTAAAGGAGAATCACACTGATGGAAAAGTGCTTCAACCTCAAAATGCATGGCATAGAGTATAATCTTATTAGCACATTCACCAAAATTGAAATGATATGCTCGATGAGGCTTCCAAAATTGTATATTCATCATAAAAAAATTTAACTTGACGACAAAGTTGGCAAAAACTTGAATTGTGTCACTTGTATTGCCATTTCAACAAGCTGTGCAGGTACATTTTGCGTAAAGGCTTCGCAAGTCCAAGAGTTGACCAGCAAGACCAAGACTGTGTTGCAAAAGCTACGTGCCCAAAATTCTGTGCATATTCTGAAATTTCAGCGACATAGTGAATGCAGTTTTTCCCTTAATATGAGCACAGATCCCGAATATAAAAATAATTAATTTCGTAGAAATATTCATTTTGCTACCTCATCGTAATCGGAAATTCTGTGTCTAACAGCGACTTTGGTTACACTGCAACTGCTTATTCTCACAAACATACTTATTTGATTCTCTTCTTTGTTACAGAGCTGCTGTCGCCTATGAAACTCCCTCTGAAGAGCGAAGATCCTCCCATGGTAGGCGGCGCCCCCTCTAACGGCGATAGCCATTCCCCTCCCTTCCACCACTATCCCCACCACCCAATGGCACACCCCGCCCTGTTTACGCCCTCCCAACTGCTGATGGCCAGTCAGCTGATGGCGATGTCCAACAACCCGGCGGCCGCTGCGTTTTTCCACCCGGCCTTGTTGCAAGTGCCCTGGCACACGAGTGCTATGGGTGGGGACACGGTGCCCGCCCACAAGGGGAGGCAAAAAGGAGGAGCGGTCTCGCCACCACCGTCGCCGCCTATGCCGGGGAGCAAACAACATATCAACAACAATAATAATGATGTGGTAAGTGGGTGTATTTTCACGTTACAGGGTCGTTTAGGCTTAGGGTTGAGGCTTGCCTGTTTCAATTGATTAACTGTCAGGCTTCACAAGGTGGAGGAATGTCTCATAAACACTGATGGTCGTATTGACCTTGATAATTTTAAACGAGTTTTCTGTTGTATGCAAATCTACGAGTACTTTACATAAGGAGCTTGGCTTTTAATTTCTACAGTATCTCCGATTTCGTATCTAGGTAGTAGCAGTGATTCAAATATTACAGAAAAAGTGAAAAACAATTGCATCATGTCTAGAGCATAAAGTACATCTGAAAAAAATAAGAAAAAGCCCTAAGACTTCAGGCTTAAAAGGTTTCGAGTGGGGATGGAAATCGAATAAATAACATTGTATTGGAATGATATTGCTTTCATAATATACTGTATACAATCTTCAGCATGATCATCAGTCGATCAATTGCAGTAGAAATTCTAAAAATTTGATGTATTAGAAATTGATTTTTCGTTTGTAAGGCTCAAAATATCCTAGTTTTCACGTATGTGGTGTAATATTGAAAAAAGCTGGTGATCCAGCAGTTTAGCCAGGTAGGTGAAGTTGCTTACTCAGCAGAATGGTCGGACATCCTGATCATTATTAGGAGGTCAAGGATGTTCCACAATTTAGTGAACCAACATGTGGAATATTGTTGATATACTCCGGGTCGACAAAAAAGACCAAAGGTGGTCAAGTCAGGCTTTTCCTCCCCACCCCTAACACTAATTAGTGTCCGACCGAAGTTTTGGTTTCGAAATCTGCCGAAACAGCAACCGAAAGTTCGTATGTTTTCGGGCGCCTTCGGGCAAATTTATTCAGATCGAAGGCCAGACTTGCTAGAAAAAATTGATATTCATGACATATAGTATCAGGCTGTTCAGCGATGATTATTAGATTTTGTTCTAATGGCCTGTTGCACCAACGTTAATTTTTTTTATTTTTTATGTCACTCAAGATGGTAAATATTATACAAATTAATAGAGAATTCCAGTTTAGGCACAGTTTCAGGCACAATATTCAAAACTGTTCAAACTGAATTTACCAAAATTTCCATAGTTACTTATCTCTTGGAAATAGTTTTTCTTTGTGGTCTTTGAATAATTCTTCTAGAAAACCACTATTTATTAGTTCAAATTACCCCAATGGGTTGTGATTTTTGTTTTATTGTTTGATTTTTTACAAAATGTTGGAAACAAAAACAAATTCTTTATTTTGTTTTTGAAGAGTCAGATGTAGTACTGCTTAAGTTTTCTTTACCGAATTCTTAATAATATTCGAATGACTGATTATTACAGTTTTTTTCTCTAATAATAAACTGCTATTATTATTCCTAACATTAATTGGTAAAGACTGAGTTTGTTTTTTTTTTCGAGATTCACTACTATCTTACCTCCAAACCTCCCATATCATACTCCTCGGTTGGAAGTTGTGGTTTCGGCCGAAACTAGAATTGGACCGAAATTTCGGTTTCGGCTGAGATACTAGTTTCGATCGACACTACTACTAATTAACGCCTTTATTGACAACTGTTATTTACATCTACTTTAGGATCGGTTGTTCTATTTTGGCTTGAACTTAATGTTTTGTTCCAGGTAACGAGCAGCACGACGACGACGGTAACAGCGATCCCTGAAAAGAAACGGAAATTCAAGGAAGAACCGGAAGATCTGCCAACGCCGCCTCCCTCGATGCCCTCTCCAACCTCAACGGCGTCTTCCCCTCCAGCCCCCACAGTTCTCTCCTCGGATGGCAAAGAGGGAGGGCAACGGGACAAACAGTTCACGTGTGGAGTGTGCAACAGGTAGGTGATACACATGTACTACTCGAAGAAGCAGGAGAGATAAAAGGGGATGTGTGTGTAGGTCGACGATCTCCTGGTTTCGCTTTCTTTTGTTAGAGCACGCGTTCCGCTCAGAAGTGGGATATGGGTCGGGAGATGTTTGTATATAAATTCAGTTCCGATTGATTCGTTGCAAATAATGAAAAATTGGCATATTTAGAGAGAGTATGTATACAAATATTATATGGACAAGTACATATGTGGGTTTTGATGTCTTTGGTTTAATTTTTAAAGCGGGGCACTTAGATAGCGAAGCTGTGTGACTGCCGTCACTTGTTCAGCAACTATGGAGTTTCTTCGTTTTTGGAATACACTCTATAACTTCTACGTCTCATTTTCGGTTCGTAGGATTTCATGCATTTCAAAATATTTCAGAACGTATTTTCTTGATGTGTTATTGTAAATGTTTTCCTTGTTACAGATCATTTGGGTACAAGCACGTCCTCCAGAACCACGAAAGGACGCATACTGGTGAAAAACCATTTGAGTGTCCTGAATGTCACAAACGATTTACAAGGGACCATCACCTTAAAACGCATATGCGACTGCATACGGGAGAAAGACCTTACAGGTACGAAAACGATTTTCTGAGAAATACTCATATCAAAATTAAATTCTATACTGTATAGATAAAAATAAATTGCACTTTTGAGTAGTGATATATGTATCTATTGGGTATAATCTAGACATTAACTTGTGTTCCAGATGTGACCATTGTGATCGACAGTTTGTACAAGTAGCTAACTTGAGGCGACACCTAAGGGTTCATACTGGTGAAAGACCCTACAACTGTGAACATTGCAACGCAAAATTCTCGGACTCCAACCAGCTCAAAGCCCACATACTCATACATACCAACGAGAAACCATTCTCGTGCGACAGGTAAGATCTTGATTTCTGGATTTTTTAACTTCTTCACAACTTGAGTTCTAATTGCTAAATGTCTTATCAGAACAATGTTATGCTTATTTTAATTTTTCATCACTTTAACAGCTATAAGATTGTCTGTTTATGAAATGTTGGTCTATTAATTCTGTAAAGCACGCATTTTAAAATTACACCTAAAATTGGGGAGTAATATATTATATTATATTATCTGATTGTTGCAGATGTCAAAGTCGGTTTCGTCGCAGGCATCACCTTCTGCATCACAAATGTGGAGTTCCAGACAAGGATCTTCCCTCCCCAGCTGACTCAGATGATGAAGATATGGTGGGGGGTAAAACTACTGTCACCCCTAGAAGACCCCCAATAGTCGTATTGCATCCACCTACCGCTCCGCTGATCACGTTGCCTCTACAGGTAAGATACAAAAATAGATCGTGGTTTAACTTCCCTATAGCATCTTCAAAAAATGAGTAATCAATTTTTAGTATTGACTGAAAATATAAACACCGTCCAAATCCAAGATAAAGTAAAACACGCTTTCGTGATTGTTTAGCAATAGAGGGACAAGGTGAATCCGATATCTAGTTGTAATCAGACGTCCGGGAGGCGGGCAGGGCCGGCTTTAGAGTTTTGTGCGTCTTGGGGAAAAGGATCAAATATACACTCTTCCTCCACATTAAATGAGAACAAGGCCGAACTGATCCTTTGAGTCAGGGGGGTACACAGAGGTAGTCTCGATGGGGAGTGCTTCGGCGAATTAAAATTTGTTCGGCTGCATTGGAGCTTCTAAGATCGAATGCCTTTCTAATAACTAAAGAACTAGGGGTGAAGTGGTGGAGTTCGCTGGTCAGTCTCTCTGTATTTCTTGATTTGTACATTACTTGCAAAAATCCAGCGAAAAACAGTTTTATGTTACACATATAACCCACATTTCTTTGTGAGGCTGCAATCTGCAAGATGTCGGTGTCCTCGTAAGATGATTCTTAATACGAACCTGTCTAATTTTTCAGATTTTTCGAATTCCATGTATGTTTGCATTACATTCACTCTAACATGGATTTTAATGGGGACATCGAATTTAAATAGGCCACGATCATTAGGCTCGTGTGAACGCTCACAAAAAAGTTTCTTTCATGCATCATCCTATAGGTCTTTACACGGTTTTTGGCGGGTCACGTCAGAACTATACGAATTACTTTCATATATCCATCTCTCTCACACATACGTATGCAATCCGCCTCTATGTGCGAACCTCGAGACCCGTCTGGAAGCACCTGTTGCCATCTAGACCAGTTCGCGAAAACGCTGGAATGTCTCTCGGCTCATCGATAGGGGGATAAATACGCGACCAGATGGCGGAAGGAGTGAGTCACAGTCGAGCTTACAGACACAGTCAAACCAGTGGACAGCGAGCGTTAAATTAGTTGCGTTATAAATTTATGTAGGGTAATAAATTAGACTTTGGAGACTGTAAAAACGGTGTTTTCGTTACATTATTTTGTATGCAATTTTCCAAATATCGCGAAAAAAACTATAATTTAGTAAATTTCTATGTGTTATTGTACATTATCAAGCAAAAATATTTAAAGTTTGATCAACTTACACGAATCTATTTTCATTTGATTCATTCATTTTCATTTCTCTGACGAAATTTTCCTTATATTTCAGGTGGCGCTACCCGAACAGACCGAACCCGAGGACCTAAGCATGTCCACAGGCGGTCTGCATTCGACCAATAGCTCCACGGGAGGCTCCCCCCATTCCCCGAGCTCCAGGGGAGAAGGGGATGGTGAAGACACGGAAGAGGACCCCCAGGAGTCGTCGCTGTTTTTCTACTGCAGGAAAAGCGGTAGGTAAGGGAAAGATGTTATTAGTGTAGACAAATTTATTATTGAGGGTTGAGGTCGGATAGTAGGGGAATTTTTGTTGGTGGATAACTACGAATGTTGTTTCTTGGGAGTTTTGATATAGCGACATATTACTTTGAAACGTATAACACATTAGCTAAATGTAACTCCTAAAAATTATTCTGTGGTTTCCATGTTCTTATGATTCAATTGTCTGAAATGCCGTACAATAAAGAGAAATTAATACATACCGAGTGTTTTAAAATAGGGCAAAGTTGCGCATTTAGGTAACTAAGAAAATGGTAGAGAATTTCGCATTTCAGAGTACCTACTTCAGGAGAGAGGCGGAAAAAACTGAACTTTCCGAAAATCGTTTTCGTGACATTTTTGAGGTGGGATTTCAAAGTAAGTTGCACGTTAACTTTGTCACTATTTCTTCTCTTCAACGTGGTATAACTATAATTTCAATTTGAAGGGTTCGTCTCTTGTTTTCAACAACAAACTTTTATTTATTATGGGCGCCATATTGGATTTTTGCACAGTTGAAGGGAGCTTTTGATTTTAATTCTGACCATGTATAATATGTCGTACATTGCCATTGTTTGACTTGACTCAATTGAAAAAAAATTTTTATAGTTGACCTTGAAAATGACAATGAATCACGAGTTATTTGGAGAAACGTATTTAAAGGCCATTCAGATTATTTGTACACATATAGACTATAACAAGCGTTATTTAGTACGCTTTACATGACGCACCTGAGAATTGAAGGCAATATGTGTGCATCAGCTTAGATATGGCAAAAATTAAATGCGTTTAGGAAGTAGTCAAGAAAAAATGAAAACAATTTTAGGAAAATTCTTGATTACCGTTTTATTAGTCAGCTAAATAGGTAACTTTACCCCCAGTTAACCGATTTCGTATCTCTTACCGTTTCCGAAATCTCAACAGTGAGAGTCCAATGTGGTTTAATTCGGCCAGACAATAGAATCAAGATGCGGCAATCATTCTCACTTTCTCTTGTGAAATTGCATCTCATCATTGTATATCAAGAAAGACTTTGAAAATGTAAACAGAATTACGAAATAGCTATATCAATATCCACTGATGACGTCCCTGTACTAGAAGCCTCAGTGAAAGTGTCAAAGGTACCATTAAACAATGTATACTCATCCAGGGAATATTTAGTATTATCATTTTTTGATTTGTATTTCGTAAATGTTGGTATGCAAGTTCCTGATCCATAGCAGTAGTCATTGTTATACAGAATAACGATTGAGTGAATGGTTTTGAGTTTCGATCTAAAACAGATTATTATATATGCTGGGCGACAGTTTTGCTAACGTGGTCTTTATTTTGGTTCAACGAAAGATTAGTAATCTGTTCGACCTTAAGGTAAGTAAGAAGTGTGTTCTTTTCACGATAGTTGAGGAATTGTGCACATTTCCTAGCTTATCATGTGATCTTTATTCAAAATATATGTTGTAATCATAGTTCGACGCGCGTTTGAAACTAGGAGTTTTCGTCAAAGTCTTGTGTTCTGATCTACGACTATTTTGATTAAACCTGGCCGAAATGCTCCGTTAAAGTTATTATGGTGCTTAATTAAAACGTGATAATGAAAATGCGGTAAATATTTCTGTTGCCGTATCCCAGAATTTTTTCATAACTAAAGGACGATGTATTGTACAACAGTTCATAGTACTGGTAATCTGTTCCTTACCACATCGAATCTTGGATAGATTTGTCACTCTACAATCTAGCCAAAAGAAACGTAGTTAAACTCCTACTGTCAAGATTATTTCACACGTTTACCAAAGTTATCGGCGACTCGAAGATCTGTCCAAGAAATCTAGACTTTTTTACCTCGGACTTTGACTACAACATGATTTTTCAAATGAAATAATTATTTCGATATTATAATGCTAATTGATAACAATATCTCTAATTTCATTAGACTCATATAAAAATGAATTGTGTTTAAAAATATTACCGCTAATAGTTAACAGTTATTTGGGTTCTTGGAAGGTGATCCCTAGCCAAAAAAGTAAGTAAAATAAATCAAACATGCCTTTCGATACAAATCTAGAAAATTTTCAAGCATCTTATATCTCCGGCGTCTGAAATCCGACCTTCACACTGACCATTTGCACAGAAACTTTTACACAATATGCAAATCTTCTGACCTGGCTTAAAAATTTGCATGCCCCCATAAAATCAGCATGTGGGCCAGAGGTCTTTTGTGTACTTCTGCTCCAGATAACTGTATTTTTTTCGAATGCGGTGACACGGCCTGAAGCAAATTTCACTTTATTGCTCTCGGGACAATCGCAAACTAGAATCCCAGTAGGCCGGTGGTCACTTTTTGCCTGCGCGCCCAACTGACAAGGGTCGTTCGTCTGTCGGTGTAATCTGTTAAATACCGCTTAAAACAGTTGAAGAGCTATTAAATGCAGTGACTGAAAAAATAGTTGGTGAAAGAAACATCAAAAATGATCCTAGAGCAGTTTCTTAGAATCGTTTTTACCTAGCGCGTATTGCATACAGAAAGCTTTGCATTCGCCGAAAAAAAAACGACTTACAAGAATATTTAACTTCCACTAAGCCCTAAAAAAATCAAAGCCAAAGTCTTACCCTCACAAGAATGGGATTTTTTCAAAATCTTTCTTTCAACGTGGTATCAATATTCTACTTCTAAGATGTATATTTTGTATCTTTCCACTTTTTGTCTGTCAACGAGGAGGGGCAAAGCTCGCACTACAAAGTTCGAAAGTAAAATTTGACGTTCTATCGTGAAATAATTCTTACATTTCTCTATGCCTTGATCTTAGAAGGTGACCCTACTTTTGCCATGGCTTTCGTCTAATGTAAGAAAAACAGCCTACATTCGCTGACAATTTGACGTGAAATACATGGTCCCGTTCTATCGGTATCAAGAACAAAAGCTGAATCTCATTAACTGAGCATAGTTCTTGTTATAGTTTTGGAGTGTCAGAGAAGAACTACAGTGAACGTATTACTCTTCCACATTTACGCCTGTTGCTGTCAGTATGTCAAATTGCTTGTCATGGGCGTAAAATTTGAATGTATCTTTTGTCGATATTCATTATACGAGGGCGGTTCAATAAGTACCCGTGGTAGAAATGACACC